TGGATGGATGGATGGATGGATGGATGGATGGATGGATGGATGGATGGATGGATGGATGGATGGATGGATGGATGGAAAGCCAAATAAACATTTGTTTTACTGCCAAAACCTTCTGTTATGCCTGATGTAGACAGCCAAGCACATTTTAGCCTTTTTATTTGTTCTACATTGTACAGTTGTTTATTTAAAACATTTTTTCCGTTATTTCACTCAGGATTTTTTGGTATCAAATATTGGTAATAATATGAGTATTGTTGCACCAATACTGATACCAGTAACGGGCAGGGCCCCGATCCAGCACTAAAATGGTGCTATCGGTATCAGCGAGTACCAAAAAATCGGGCACCGATACTATTTTCCAGGTAGGCACTAAAAAGTTCTACTGGATTTACTTTGTAATAGTCTTTTTCCTGCTTCACAAAGGTGGGCAGCAGCTTGACAAAGCCATGATGGCAATTATTTTAGATCCAAGTAGTATGCAGTTCTTCATATACATATATATACACACATACATCAATTTCAAACAGATGGTATTGGTATCGGCCAATACTGCACAGCTAGGTATTGGGTATTGGTATCCGGGCCAAAAATTGGCATCGCTGCAAAACTAATTATGAGTAGTAATTTTATTACCTTCTTTTTGACAAAAAAGGAAAGAGGGAAGGTAAAAACAGTAGCCATGATTCAGCATTGGCAACTCAGAAGCCGCCATATTTGTTACGATTGATTATTATCTTGTTTAATTAAAAAAAAAAAAAAAAAAAAACTTGAACGCTGTTTTCTCATTTAGGAAGTTACTATCAGATGAAAAAAAAAATCTAGATTTTACATCTTTATTTAATTAAGAATGAAACCATAAGTGACTGTTCAATACAGTCTGTAAATCCAGAAGAGTTTCCCTTCCAATTAGAGTAAAACGCTGACAGAAATATTTCTTTATAATTATTTTATACAGGTCATCTATATTATGAGTTTATTTTCTATCTAGTGTATTTTTGAATGCTTTTGAGTTAGCCCTAGCTAGCTTTTCCCAAACGGGAAGTGGTTGCCTAGCAACTGCATGTGTCGCGTGGGGATTTGTGTTGGTTTCACAGTCAAATGGTCACAGCAGGGTGTTATTGAAAGTTCAGGTAAGCCTTATTAATAATTTCCAGTAAATTCTGTTATTATGCTAACTTCCACTTAGCACCTTTACATGTAATCTTTTTTTAATCAATTTTACTTTTAGCTAAAGTTATGTTTTGGTCAAACTTAACCTTCTGCTGTCAAACAGGTACTGCTAACGCTAGCTAACCTGGATTTAGCATACGCTGGATACGTCACAGCCTTGTTTGTTGACTATATAAATAAAGATATCATGACGTCTGGTTATTTTTCACTTTCAGGTAAAACCCATCGTTTCAAAATGATGTTCTTTACGCAACTATTTACATCCAGTCGGGGACCTTTAGCCAAAATCTGGCTAGCTGCTCACTGGGAGAAGAAGCTGACTAAGACGCAGGTGTTTGAATGCAACTTGGAAACAACCATCAGAGATATCCTTTCCCCTAAGGTATTTATTTACAGTAGATAAATGTATACATTCAGGTTGTTTTCGATTGTATCTGGACTGGATCCTTCAAGGTCCATTTGGCTGTCAGTGCAAACTTTCGCGGCTTTTAGCCGCGCGCGCCCTGTCGCTTAGCAACCAGGAGAGTTGACACACAAAACAAAATAATGAATACCGGCACTACTGTTTCTTTTTTATTTATGTTTTCTTTTTTTATTTTAAAGTAAAGAAAGACTACACTCGTGAGAATACATCATGAGAATACAGAGTACATTAAAAGTAAAGGTAATGATATAACAGGGGTAAAAATATATAAGTAAATCTAAACAATGTATGTATAAAAAATATATCTGCAAAATCTCTTATATTCAACAACAAAAAAACATAGTTAAGTAAACTGTAGAAAATAGCAATTGAAAAATCATATCAGATTTATAGTCCCCACACTGCAGATATATTAGAATCTGTCCATAAATTACAGATACAAATCTTTAGATAAATGAAGCATTACCCACCACATATCTGACTCAGTAGATATGGTTAACAATTTAAAAAACTATTTTCATTAATTTCAGACAGAACTATTCACATACTTGTCTTATATAAATCGGCGCTGTTCGGTGCCATTTACCTTTTTCCTCTGAGCACGGAGCAGCCGGCTTGTTTGGTCTCATGATGAATCCTGGGATAACCAAGAATAGATAGGATACAAAACGGGCAAAAAGAAGGATGCATTTGTCGGCGGCATAATAAGGAGTCTTGGAATCCGACCAGACCTTGGCGCCGCGCTATGATGTAATCGGCCTACGAATCTGGCCTTCAGAGGACTCGGCCCCTGAAATCGAGCTCAGTATCAATTTTCCATGTAATGATTTAAACAGTTAGACGATGTGTTTAACATTGGGATTGGATTTTTTTTTTTTCAGATGGCAATTAATTTGAGGACTTTTGGACATCTGCTCTTTGGTGTGGTCAGAATCTACTCCAGGAAAACAAAGTACCTCTTCGCTGACTGCAACAATGCCCTGGCCAATATAAAAATTGCGTTTAGACCAGGTAACATTATGCTTATATAATGTGCTGAATCAGTTTTTATTTGTAGTTATACATTGAAAGGACTACTAAGGTCAATATGTAACAAGGGTTGTGACCCCACTTGGGGTCTTTCTACAACTAGTAGAGGGTCTTGGGATACACTAAGGAAATTAAACTAGATAATAAACATTTATGTTAAGAATGCTTAAAGATATATAAGTATTACTTAAAATGGAAAACACCAACTACTTTGGTTGTTGATTCAGTTTGTAATATTATTTCACACACGGTTAATTTAATTTATAGATGTGTTTGTATACTCAAGGAGTTTGGGTCCTGAGTACACTGTGGTACAATTTTGTGGGTCAAAAACTGAAACGTTTTGGATCCTCTGATTTAAAGGGTTAAAAATATATCAGAGTTCCTATACTGTACAGTCGGAAGTAGCCCAGTATTGTATTCACAGGGTTTTTACAGCTAAAGATGAATTTGAAGGCGTTAATAGTGTCTGAAGATTTTGACAAAAATAAAAAGATAACTGCAATATTTGCATAATTTGCTACAAAAATAGTTTGCAAGAGAGACAGTTGTTATTATGTATAGTTTGAAAGCTGTTTTTTTTAGGTATTTGCTTCCACACCTGCACATATTTCATTTTCAAAATATATGAATAATAAATGCATTTTTGTACAGGAAGCAAAAATAAAAAAAAAGTGTTTTGAAAACAGAATAACAACAAAAAACAGAATCCTACACCTTATTTAATTGATTTTATTTTTCTATTGTATATACTGTGTCTAAACATCCTCTATTTTCTTATATGTGCAATTTTTCCTGCTACTGGAAATACAATTTCCCGAAGGGAGTAATCCCAAGGGATTAATAAAGTCAAGTCTAAGTCTAAGTCTAAGAATATTAGTAATTGTAGTAAAATGAACTTTCAATGAGGAAAAACAGCTGGACTGATCATTAACAATTGTTAGAACAACAGTAACAGCTCAGTGTAAATTAATAATGTTGTGTAATGTTTACATCTGATAAGCAATACACCGTTATGCTCTGAGATAATATTTCTGGACATCTCCAGCTTTAGTATTCATGAGTACCTGAGCAAATACCTCATAAGTGAGATTCTGTAATCCACAACTGCAATAAACAGTCATGTTTTCTAAAAGTTTTGAGTCAGTTTAGTACAGATCAGAGATCCTTTTTGCCAGTTGTAGGGTATTTACCTTTATATTTAATTTTTTTTCTTTATGTTTCTTGATACCATACCATACCAACTTTATTTATGAAGCACTTTATACACCGGACAGGACCAAAGAGCTGTACACAATCATAAAGTACAATGCAATTATAAAAATAGAAAAGATGGAGTATAAAATACATATTAGTATACAAACAGAATAAAACAAAGTGAAACCTCTCAAATTGTGACAAAAGCCAAGGAAAAAAGATGAGTCTTAAGAAGGGACTTAAAAATAGCAAGAGAAGAGGCCTGTCTTATGCTCAGAGGCAGATCATTCCATAGCTTAGGAGCTGCCACAGAAAAAGCACGGTCCCCTCTGAGCTTGCATTTTGTCTTTGGGACCCTCAGAAGCAACTGATCAGCTGACCTGAGGGAACGGGACGGTGTGTAAGAATGTATAATGAAACACCTCAGACAAATAAGGAGGTGAAGGGCCATTAAGAGTTTTAAAAACAAATAAAATAATTTTAAAATCAATCCTAAAATGTACTGGCAGCCAGTGTAAGGAAGCTAAAACAGGGGAAATGTGGTCGAATTTTCGTGAACCTGTTAAAAGACGTGCAGCAGCATTTTGAACCCTCTGAAGTTGGGAAATATACAAATCTTAAAAACACAAAGTTCTTGATGATCTTAACAGATTTCCAAAGCTATTTTATAAATATCTAATTATGCAAATGTTTATCACAAGGGCAGATTTAAGGCAGAGCTTACATGGGGAATCAAGAAACTGTACTCCATAGCATGCATAAAACCAAAGGACCAAATCAGTGCAAACTCATTATGTGCTGAAGGTTTAAATAATTTGTAAGATAAAAAAAAAATCTATTTTGCATGATCGATTCATAATTGTTGAGTTTAAAACTGATTATTATTTATTTGGGTTTTTTATCTGCTTTAATTCAGCCAAAGTTGAAATAATCTATCTGTTCTTGTTATTTGTTTTATGTCACTGCATCAGGTCAAACTGATATGCCTGTGGAAGGACTCGAGTCAACACTGAGAGCGATCACTCTGGTTGAAGACTTTTCTGCCTTTGATGCTGAGCTCCCACTTCCATGGTCAGTTTCTGCACATCCTCACCAGCAATTTCTTCTCTACTTCTTTACCAAACATTTTTTCTTATCCTTATGCAAAAAAAAAAACAAAAAGTGATTGATTAAGAACAAAAAGTTCTAATATTTAGAACCACACTTTTGTCAGAAATGTTTGTTAATGATGCTAAAAAAGTCAGACCAGTAAAGGTTTATTGCTTTTCTGTCCTGATGCTGGAACGACAGTGACATTGACGTTATGGACCACTTGTCACTGAACCAGAGCCGATCAGAGGAAATTACTATGAAAGATGATTTGGGGCATCAGTATTTGAACCTCCACGACATCAGTAAGAGAGATTTTGTCCAGGCCTCGTGTTTCAGCGTTGGATGTTTATATTAGTATTTCATTTTATATTATATTATTATAGATCATCTATCGTTTTGGACATCACGTTTTCTTGGACAAAGCTGTTTCTTATTTTGGTGTCTTTTTGCTAGATAACTCTCAGAGCCAAGCAAATACACTGCTGGACACAAGCTTAGACAACTTTGAGCCACAGAGAGATGGATTTGGAGATGAGGAGAATGGATACGATCTACTTGGTAGTCTGTCCTGAATTAATCGCTGCTATTACTGAACTTTTTTCTGTCTTAAAGTTATGTTAATAGTTGTTTATTAATCACCCTTTAGACTTCCTGGCAAACTCCAGTGACCAGGCTGAGTTCACAAACTTCATCCTGGAAGGGCCGCAACTAGAAAACCAGGAGATCTTGACAGGAAGTGCTGATAATCACGAAATGGGTGATGATGTTTTATCATGTAGTGCATTTATGTACTGTATAAAGTTTCCCCCTCCTGGAATGTCACGTGTATGATGTTTTCCTGATGCTGGATCTGTTTTCCAGATGTTGACAGCAGAGATCCAGAGGTTACAAAAACTCCTAGAATAAATGGGACCACACTAGTTACCAATAATGAAAGTATTTTCCTTTTAGAACCTGTGCCCATCACACGTAAGCAAAAAGCCATTCACCTAGGTTCATCCTTTTGCTAGTGACCATGGAGAAATCAATAAAAAGATGAATCTTTATTTTAGCAAGCTCAGAAAGGAAGCTGGGGAAGAGGAGACGTAGGTTGGTGGTGGACCAGGCTAAGGAGCTGAGCGACCACTATATCAAGGAGCAGCTCTCAGATTATTCTGATATGATTGCTTCGTTTGACATGGCTCCATCGACTGTGCGGATCATGCAGTGGATGGAGGACAGAGGCACCAACAAACTCTTCTTAACGCCATGTTCCACTGTGGCAAGTCCTCAGATACACGAGGTAAAAAACTTGCCTCTTTTTTTATATCAGTACAGCTTTCTTAACCATCAATCTCCATGCTAGTTCTGTGTTTAATTATATAAATGGATGTTGCTTTCGCAGCTGTTTGCCAAAAGTGTCTTTCAGTTGAAACATTACAGCTTTACGGAGGAGGTTGAACAAATACGACAAGAGGAACAAGAAGGTAAGAACTGACTAAACAAGTTATTTATTTATTTGAAAGGGACAGCATGTATTAATGAACCTTGAGAAATATGTTTGTAGTTCTCATTCGTTCCATTTCGTTAAAATGTGCCCTAAGAATTTAGGTATTATTATTAAAAATAAAAAATTGTTATGTAAGGGAGTGAACGTGCAAGGAAAAGGCTTTCTCCTCACAAAGAAACAGTCGGTCTGCTAATATCATTGCTGTGAAGACGTAGTGTCCCCAAGATTCAGTTCTGTTAAGTGTAAGCTCTCAGGATTTTAACTATATTTACCCATCCTGCTCACTTTGTGCAGCTCCTCATCCAGTGACCACTGCCTAAAAAAAATGGCATTGTATTTGTCCAAAGCAAACCGAAAGGCATGGATTGCTTATTAGAATTAATTAGAAATTCCACTTAACTTAAGAAAAACAAAATAAGGCTCCCTTTTCTTTTCTTTTAGAGGATTGTTGACGCACCAGCAAATGTTTCGTCCTGATTTTGCCATAGAAGATAGTTTTATTTCAACATGAGGCAGTTTTTCTCCTCTAAGTCAATGCACTGATATTAAAAGTTGGACTTTTATAGTTTTTTCAAACATTTACAACATTAAATATTAAGTTATCTGATGCATATTTTCTAGGTTTGTCATCATCTGCACCACTTGTTTTATTCTACCTGTTCTGATCGGTTTCTCTTTAGCTCAGAGGGACCTCAGCTCCATCACCACAGACAGTGTTGTAGATTCATCTGTGGGCGCTGAAAAAACCATCAACACTGAGCTTACGGCCCCTGACCTGATGAATGGGAGCCTGGAGGTCCCAGAAGTAAGCTGGAGCAGAAGGTATCGGCTAAAAATGTTTGGATTTGGTTTTTATTTCTTTGTAATCTGCTGTGTGTCCATCAGGGTGAAACAATGGAGTTCTCACATCCAGAGTTGCCATCAGAGGACTCCATGTTCGTCCATCCCTCTGATGCAGAGCAATCCACTCAGTCAACTTCTCTCCACACTCAGGTGCTTGTTAGGAAACTGACATTTTCTCCTTTCGCTGACCTCGTGCCTGGCTTTAAATAACAAATTGTCTGAGAATAGCGTTAGTTTGTCGGCTCCAAACAGATGGCAGGTGTTAATTTTCCCCTGCTGCCTTGACAATGCGCCCAGCATCCCTGATTAAAACACGCTGCTTTTCCAACCTGCAGTCTCTGTTGAGCGGCAAGGACAGGGAGGAGAGGGAAACAACCAGGAAAACACAGAGACTTCTAAAAGATCTAAAGGTAAAAAGCCCCAAAATGTTCAGGCTTCAGTGATAGCTCTGTGCATAAGGGAAAATGTTTTCTTTAACCTTTTTTGTGTGGAAAACAACTCTAGCCTTCTTGCTTTCCTCTGATGGATTTAAAGATGAAAGGATTAGGATTACCATGGGGAATTTCTTTAATTCTCCTTTGTGTCCACGTGTCTGCCTGTTTTCACAGCAGAGGGAGACCTTTGGAGACCCTAGGTTCAGCATTAAGTCGCTCTGTGAGGGAAGCAATCGATGGCAGGCTGCAAGCACTTTCTTCTGCCTCCTGGCGCTGAAAAAGCAACAAATCGTCCAGCTGCACCAAAGCGCCCCCTACCAGGACATCTCTGTGACTCCTGGCCCCAAATACTACACTTAGAAAAGGATTCAAGTTCCTCGTTTGTGGCTGATTCATGTGTTGTAGTCATGAGTTATTGTGGATCTGGCCGTGTTCACGTTACCATGCCTCTGGTTTCACTGAGGAAACTCATGAAAATCTGCTTCTGTGAAAGAGAATATTTTCTGTTTTTTGCATGTTCCTTGTTTCTTCAACAAGATATTTCTCTCTGACCACGACGTTTTAAAGTTATTTAAATATATAACTGCTTTGTTCAAAGCAAAGATGATGGCTAACAGCCAGAAAGCAAAGACTCCCAATCACCACTTTTATTTTTGCTGTTAAGGTTCCCAGGCTTGTTAGCTATGTTTCTAAAGCTGCAAACATTGTCTGTTTGATTGTTAAAATAAATGAATGGATTTCATTTGTTTCAGTCTACACTAATCAGAACATATATATTTTATCTCCAATAAGAATATCAGTTTCTCAGATTTCTTGTACTCAGTAAAATATTTAGGTTTTTATTTTTGACCATTTTGATAATTATGGTTAAGAGTTAATGAAACCCTTAAAATCTGTTTCTGATGGCTGTTGAAAAATATGTCCATGAATGTAGAGTATATGCTGAAGCAATGTTGAATTTGACCTTCAGAAATCAAATCACTCTCCAAATCACTGCTTAGGTTTGAGAAATAAACTTAGCTTGTCTCAGTTCTTAGATCATTGGATTTTGATTTCCAAATAAAAATAAAAAAGTGTTTAACTTTTAAAAACCGATTTCAGGATCACTGAATAATACTCATCCAATGTGGTCAAGATGATTTTAAAGGTACGCGACAATACCTGGTGTGAGGGACCGAACTTGAATAAGGACAAAAGGTGTTAAACTTTCATATAATAATTTAAAAAATAATTAACAAAGGTTCAAAGGCAATAAAAAATAGCTTAAGTATAACATGGATTTGGGCCCAACTAAACTGAACATAAACTCAAACCAAAAACTGACCTAATGAAAAAAAAAAAAAACAGGCTGCTCAAAATAGGGGAGGAATAACCTAACTTGCCACATGGGGGAGGCACAATTTACAGAAAAGCAATACATTTAAAAAAAAAACATACAAAACTAAAACATACTAAACAAATAACTCTTTAGCTTAGCACAAATAATAAGTGAATATTAAGGTGACAAAATAACTAAAGTCAACTTAAACAAAATTCCCCCCTCAGTTCTTTGGGAAAGTGGATTGTTCCTGGCTTCCACCTACAGCTGATCTGCATTTGAAGAACCTCAAAGAAAATAAGTGTGAATTAAACCATTCAAACATTAACTAAAGTGTGCACCCATTAGAAAATATACATCTAAATGCTAAATAAACTAAATCTGGAACTAAATATTTACTATGAAACACTCTGTGGTGGGGGTAGAAGGATCCACCACACCTAGTATCAATGTCATTAATATCGTATACTTGGGTCTATGGTGGTTTCAAAAGCACTAACTCTGTGTTCAGTCCAAAACCTTTCTTCATTTTCTCTGAACCCTCAAATTTGCTTTACCATTCTCTCAAGGTGACAACTACCATCCTTACTGCTGTTTCACAGTTTTATGGCAACATTTTTCCTTCCACTTAACTTTCCAACAATGGTCTTGGACACAGTTCTAAACGACCAGCTTTTTTTTGAAACTATCTTGTTACAGGCCCAAAAAAAATGTGTTTTGGGAAAATTGTATTTTTAGATGCTCTAAAAAGGTACATCTCAGAAAGTTGAAATATTAAGTTCCATATTTTGGTCACTCATTTCATACTAAGAAATATTCAAGCCTTTATTTTTGGATTAATTATTTTTTTAGATAATTAAAACAAATTACAAGATAAGTTGTTTTTTTTAAAGAAACAAGCATTTTTGTGATTTACTGTAACAACCATATTATGGCTTAAAAAAAAATCATGATGACGGTCTTCTGGACATACGATTATATGATTTTATAGGATGTCCAGAAGACATTAAGCCTTAAATAAATTATGTCAGAGACATTTTTGGTCACCGAATACAGCAGCGAAGCATGTTTATAGGAAGAGGAAAAAGTTCCAAAGGAAATATGGACATAGAAATTCAGCCTTGAGAGGAATATCAATCAGAGTCCATTCAAGAACTTGGTGGTGCTCCACAGGAAGTGGACTGAGGCTGCAGTCAGCGCACCACTTCCTACAGAGAAAACCTAAACAGGGCTTTAAAATGCAGATCTTAGTCTGAAGGAAGAGCGGGGAAACACAGACTCTGTGTTGCTTAAAGTCCAGAGATGATTTGAGGTGGTTTTCATCTGCTGGCGTTGGTGTACTGTGTTGTCTGAGGTTTATTGTCAATGCAGCTTTCTAGCAGGAACTATTGAAGCACCTATTGCATCCTTCTTCTGACAGGCTTTCTAAAGATGCTGATTTTATTTTCCAGCATGAGTTGGAACCTGCCCAAAATGCCAAAGGCTCCAGAAACTGGTTCAGTAATCATGGTGCTATTGTTCTTGATTAGGTCTGCCTAAACCTCTATGGGAACCTTAGCAAAATTAGATTTTTGGGTCCTCTAAAAATGTCAATCGCTGCAACAAACGGTCTGATGAGAAGATCATTCACACATCTACTGTATGCTCTGTACATCATCATCTACTGATATACATCCTTTTACAGTAAAGGTTTCATCTGGTTTGTACTTCTTAATTTGCACTGCAATAGAAATGTGCAAAAAATAAATTGTAATGCAAGAACATATTGTACAAAAAGGGCTGCAGAGTGTCGCAGTTTGCAGAATTGCCTTGCAATAATAAGGTTTTGGGTTTGATTCCCGGCCCGTGGTCTTTCTGGGTTCTCATCAGGTACTCTGGCTTCCTCCCACAGTCCAAACGCATGACTGTTATGTTAACTGGCATCACTATATTGTCTTTAGGTGTGAGTGTGTGTCCATGTTTGTTATTCTTTGTATGTCTCTGTGTTGCCCTCCGACAGACTGCCGAGTTAATAACAAAAAATGTTATTAAATGAAATGCAAAATAAGTCACCTGAAGACACGTACTGTAGATATTTGAAGGTTTAAAGTTAAATTATTAATTCTTAAGACTGTGTAAATGTGGAATTATAACCAAAAGCACTATTTTAAACCATAAACTGCTTTTCTCTACATATATTTTTTGGTGCTACAGTGTTCTACCCCAATACTCCACTCACTATTTAAAACTATTTTCTGTTTTCAAATTCAATATAGATGATCTAATGGGACAGCTGTGTTGTCAACACTAATCTCTGCCTGTCCCCTTCTTCATTGATCTGTCATTGTAGATTTCACGTGGCTCTTTACTAAACTGAGTTTAGCAAAGCTCTGCTCTGCAAATGTCACAGCAACAGTCACAAGAAGAATGCACGCCGCCCTCGGAGCTACAGTACCAAAACATTTGGGTAGATCTCAGATCTTAATGTCAGAGAAGGAAGTGAGTAAATAAGGTGAATGTCTGGAAGGGTTTCCTTTTTCTGAAGCCGGTACTGTCAGAATGTTCTTCAAAGATAATTTGTTTTGGTAAAATTTACACTGTTCCACATCTGTGTGTCAATGTATATATATATATTGTTTTTTATTTATTATTTTGTGTTTATGTACTTAAAAAATCCTTACACATCCTTAAAAACAAAATCACAAAAAGATTAATTGCACTTGGTGGTGGCCCCCTAATTGCTTAGTTTGCTTGTGCCTCAGAAGAATTAATTGGCTTATTGCTTGCTGACCACTTTGCATCCACTCATAAAAATATAGCATCCAAATTTTAGGATTTATGTATTTTATTTTGCATGACAAATTCCCATTTACTTATTTTTTTAGATAACTCAAAAACCTGTAGAATAAACCTTACATGATGCAGATTCATTAGCTTAATATAGCTTTTTCATTTAAAATACATCATTTTTCAGACTATGTATTTAGAATTATTAGAGTATACTTCCTCAAATTAATACTAATGAATGTATTTGTTTCAAATAAATTGTTTTGTTAGTCAGGTTACCTTTATGCAATTCAAACAATACACTTAAATACACTAATTAGTATGGACTTTAAATTCATAAACCTAATTTTTATGTATTTCAAATAAATAAGCTTTATTATATAACTGAGTATACATCACGTAAGGTTTATTCAATAGGTTTGTGTTAAAACTGTCTTTAAAAAAGCCAAAAAATGAATTTTTATGTGATAAAATTACATACCACATTATAAAATGCAGGTGAATTAGGTGAACACAGAAATTGATGAAAAAGGAGCCCCAAACAAAACACAGGAGCTTGGACATTTTTGCCTAAAATATGCATTTATTTTTTTATTATTATTTATCTTATTTTTATATTCTTTTATTCTGAGACACCTTTTGTTTTTTTAATTACCTGCTTGAAATATTTTACTCTGTTATTTCTAATATAGCCAAGATTTTCACTTCTGGAATCTTGTGGAATTGGTGATATATATTTTTTATTTATACATATATATATATATATATATATATATATATATATATATATATATATATATATATATATATATATATATATATATATTAGAGCTGAAACAATTAAGCGGATTAATTGGAATAATCATGATTAATCAGGAATTGAATAATGGTCAACTAATTTAGTAATGGATTAGTCATTAAGTGGAGTAAAGAGACTGTAAAACATGGATTTAACTGACAGAGCGACCCACTGTGAGCTCTAATTATATCCAAATAGTAAAAAAGTATATGAACATTTTGCATTTAAGATACAATGTTATTGCCTGTCACTAGGCTCTATCCAGAACTCCTAAAGTGGAAAAGTTTGAAATTCATTTGGTTTAACTTTGTAATAAAACTTCTATCCGATTATTAATGATTAATTGAAAAAATTACAGATTAACCCTTTATAGGGAAAGTTACTGTTTTTGATCACCCTTACAAATGGAGTCCCCCCGTCCCTCACTGAGGTCTAGAAGCACAAGATCTATATCCAGCCATTCAGCAAAGATACTGCTACATGGCTGTACATCTTA